GGGGGGGGGGGGGTGTCAAGTCAATTGTTATAAAATCATGCAAAATGGGAACACAGTAAAACACAGAAAAAATTCTATACATTGAGGAAAAAACCTATTTAAACCATGCAGAAAGTGCTCAACTTTTTTTCAGACAAATTAATGCAGTTTTATCCAAACATTTTGCGATATTGCAAGTAGAAGAACTGTAAAATACTGCAATACAGATAAAGCATTTGCTTGAAGTTAAAAAAAAAAATAAATAAAAAATAAAAAAAATCAAAAAAGCCTAGAACCCCTCATCTTGTTAGACAATAATTAACTAGACTGTAGCAAATATGAGGTATGATAATTTGTGTCAGAGGTAACTTTTTAGACAAAAGAAGCAATTTAGCTTTGACTGGAGTTGATAATATAAATATACACCAAGTATAAAGCTGTGTGTAAAATCTGGATTAGAAATGCAGTTATCTTCAATTATTCTCTCTCATGGCCTACATTTGCAATTTCTAATTTCAGTATATAAACTGAACAAATTTTAGAGACTGTCTCTATTAATTATACTTACAGAGATCATTTATTTCTAAGATATCCTTTCTCTAAATATCTTTGACTTCTTCCAACCCCCCCCCCCCCCAAACATATTTCTTTATCAGGTTTCCCAATACTTAAATCTATTCAAAAAAATCTATTCAAAATATTCTTGATAGCATTCAAAATTCAGATTTTACACTGAACCTGAACATTGCAGAGACTGCAGGTATGAAATATTAATTTGCAGAGTTTCAATTTATCATACCACGTTGGGTAACATATACATCCATATTGGTCACTTTACAAGCAGAGACATATTCAAGCTCTGATAAAAGTCATAGTAGTGTTCTTACTGGCTGCATAGATCAAACCATGAGCATATTTATAGAAGTTTTCGAGAAAAAAAAAATCTTAAACTTTTTATCTGGTGTTATTAAAACTGCCTGGATTTTCCAAAATCACTTCCTATATTTGATCCATGCCAAATAAGGCAGCTGAGACCTAATAACTAACCCAAAAAGCAATACTTGTATAGGCATAAATTGTTACATTGAGCACAGAAAGCCTAGAGATATACATCGTACAGTTTGGTAGACCCATATATCAATTGTCTATCACACTGGTAGCTGGAATAATGCCATGCATTGGAAGCTTCTCCTGACAGTCATGTGTGCACAGATAAAGCCTGAATACACCTGGCATACTGCCTGGCATGTCATACTGCCTGGCATGTCACGACATGGGCATGGCATACTGCTTGGCATGTCACAACATGGACATGGCATGCTGCCTGGCATGTCATGACATGGGAATGGCATACTGCCTGGCATGCCAAGACATGGGCATGCCATATTTCCTGGCATGTCACCACATGAGCATGGCATACTGCCTGGCATGTTACGGCATGGGCATGGCATACTGTCTGGCATGTCACCACATGGGCACACAGATTGACATGCCATAACAGGAATATTTGGCATAACTCAGATCTATGCACAATGACAACACTATTCCGTCTTACCGCATACACTCCACCTGGGCGGATGTAGTTGGCGTGCATTCGCGCACCAGAAACTCTCTCGTAGATCTCTAACAACTAAAAACAACAGTTAAAAGATAAACGTGTTGTAACTTTGATATTTGTTTTACTTGAGCGCACAGTGTGAAAGAGGCTCATGGTGATGATGTTGGCAATCAAGGTGTATATGCAAAATCATTTTGTAACTTCTCATTAATTCCATGTTTTCCAATTTCAATGGCACTGTTTTGCCAATGCGCTTCTGATAATCATATCATGTGGCAGTCTCCAAAAGTGATATCGCTTCAAATATGTTCTTGAATCCAGCGGGATGATCCGATGAAGTCTTTTTCAAGTGAATTTATCTTTGAGGACAAACATTACACACCTTTTGCCAAAAACAACAAGCATGAGTCACTAGCTCAAGTCCCTTTCAACCATGTTGACTTCATCACACCTGTTTCATACCTGTGAGACACCACCTGGACGTACATAAGCTGCATGCATACGGGCACCTGAAACCCGCTCATAAAACTCCATCAGCTGCAAGAGAGTAGACATCTATGTTTATCAGGCAAACAAGGTGAATTATGGTGAATTGTGTGTCAGCAATATGGCTGCTGGTGGCTTTCGCAAGTGTGTGTGTGTGTGTGTGTGTGTGTGCTGTGTGTGTGTGTGCGTGCATATGTGTGTGAGTGATTTCATATGTGTAAAAGTAGATGTGAGAATGTTGTATATAAATCATCATCTACATATGTTGTATATAAATCATCATCTACATACAATGTCATATGTTCTTTAAAACTATAAGTGCCCCATAACATGAAGCAAACAAGTGTTAACATCAGATGCAACTATTAAGAAGTAATGGGTATGAAGCAGAATCCACCTTTGGAGTACCAGTGTATGGTGCTGCAGTGTTCCTGCAACCTGAAATGATTACTCTGCATTTCTTTTTCTACATTCTTATCATAAACATTCATTCAAGTCAATTAGTTTACTTCACAAAATAAATATTAAAATCAACTTTCAGATCTCTCTATAAAAAAAAAGTATAATAATAAGTTATTATTACAATAACTATAAAAAAATGCTGATAAATTTTACGAAATTACTTTTTTTCTGAATTCATTTCAGTAGGATTTTTATCTTGATATTCTTTACCTTTTCCCTTTCTTCAAACATCCAAAACAATGGTGTAAGTCCTCCGATATCCAAAATGTGGGTGGTTATTCCCATCAAGTGGTTCATTATTCTAGTTATTTCTGCAAACATTGCTGAAAAGGAAAAAGAATACTTCTGCCCTTAAGATAACTGAAATTAAAATATCTTGAGAGTAAAAAATAATATAAATTCTACAAAAGCAAAACAAACACCATTCAAAAAAAATTCAGGACCATATTTTTGTGAAGTTCCTTCCAACAATTGTGCTTAGAAAAATGGACACAAAATTGTCAAACTGATAATTTGTAAGAAGTCTAAAGGCTTCTGTTAAATCTTTTTTTTTTTTCAAATAGTTTTCCTGTTTCATTCCCAGAAAGCAAAGGGGCACAAAAACTCCTTTTTTAAATACATTCTCTTCTGTACTGTGACATTCTTTTCAGTAAACTCCTACTCCACATAAAATTTCTCCACTCATCCTCAAAGTACTTACTTCTAATATACTTTGCCCTGGGTGGGACATCTATATTCAGCAACTTCTCTACGGCTAAGGCATAAGCCTGCTCATTACACATCATAGATACGTAGTCTAGACGGTCGAAGTAGGGCAGGGCCTGGAAATAGTGCAGTTGATGACAAAATTACACAAAAGTACTGCTTAAGATTTGGCATTTTGAAGCATTTTTTCTTATCACGGTCACCATATCATTGCAATAACTTCCAAGTTATAACATATTTACAGAATACAATTTTCAAAACATTAGTTTTACATTATTACTAACTTGGACCCATTTGTCCCACACCTAAAAAAATGCACTGCCATACCTTGCATATTCCACTGTCTGTGCCTGCCACATTCAACTAACACATTCTAATGTCACATCTAAAATAATACCCTTCCACACCTAACACGTTCTACTATTACATCTAGCACATTCAACTGTACATCTAATTTAAATTCTACTGTTACACCTAACACATTCATCTATCACATTCTTATGTCACATCTAAAATAATGCACTTCCACACCTTACCTATTCTGTTACATCTAACACATTCAACCATCACATTCTTATAACACTTCTAAACTAATGCACTTCCACACCCAACACATTCTCCTATTAAATCTAACACATTCAACTGTCAAAACACATTCCAATGTCACAACTAAATCTTCACTGCAAGCTTACTCACCTGGGTGTATGTTTTGTACTCTATCAGCTTCTCTGTCGCTCTATGAAGCAGACCTATGTGGGGATCGCAGCGTACTATGGACTGAATTTGCAATAACAAATCAATTTTATATTCTTGAAGTTGTAAGTTTAAATTGCCCATTTGTTTTTTAGAAAACCTGTGTCAGAATTCAAACATCTATCCAATCACTTAATTTCAATATGAAATAAGCAGGTTTTCTCAACTTTTTTTTAATCCACTGGCACCCTGATCCCGTAAATAAATTTAAAAAATACAGACATATTCATACATTTATATATAACAAAATACAAAAGAAAAAATTAATAAATTAAATGCCATTCATCTTGAAAATATTTACAAAAAGCAGTTTCCTGACAAAGTCTCTAAACACCCTAAGTTTCTAGGGTGACATGTACCTCAGCATCCAGCATTATGATAAGCCTAAGCACACCATGAGCCGCAGGGTGCTGAGGCCCAAAGTTGAGCACCATATTCTGCAGATATCTGTCAGTCTGAGGCATTCTCTCTGAAAAGACAAAGAATAATAGATCTCCATTTTTTTCTCATGACATGATGAAGTTTGATCTTTTTCTTCTTCTATGAGATACGCATCGCAATTTGTTAGCTATGAATTCTTTGAATAAAAATGATATCATAGATACTCTTACTAATTGTAAGAATTATTTTCAAAATAATGATAATAATAATAATTAAAATAAAATATCAACAGGTAAAGCATTTCCTATTTAAACTTTTCATAACTCACTTGAAAGAAAAACATAAGAAAGTAAAAAATAGCAGCAGACTGTGCTTTTGTCAACCAAAATTCAGAGATAGAAATAATAGTATTTGGCAGAACAGATTTCAGTCAGCGATGATGAAGAATGCAATTCTTATTTTCAACTTATATTATCATATTAGGACAATACAGCTTGTAAACCTAGAATGACCCTAAGAAAAACAAGTACTTACTGAACATGCTGTATTTACTGGTGTCTTGTATAACCTCAATTTCGTCCACTGGAGTAGTTTCATAGTCTATATCTACTGCACTATAGTATATTGCTGGTTCGTCGTATCTTTTTAAAAATTCATTATCTGGTAGCCACATAGGACCTGCATATCTGACATAAAAAAGAATCACATCACCCTGTGTGATACAGTAACACCAAATCTGTATTGCAAAGTTTTAAAATAGTATATCTTCTCTGAAATAACTACTACTACTACTGACTATTCATGGAGTAAAAAGAACACCTTGATGTTACCTGCAAGTGACACTGTGACAGGCAAGCAAATAAACAATCAAGTATTAAATCTGTAGCTCCATACCTTTTTGACAAAACAACTGGTTGAAAAGCGGTCTGAGCTGGGCTTTTTACGGCTGATAAACCGCGTGAAAGATGCCTTCCAGCTCCAAGAAGGCTCCTGGCGATAGCCGCCATTTTGGAAATGTAGCAAGCTAGATAATCCGCAAATCAGCCTCCTTTTCAATACAATCATTATGATATGAAAAGCACTCTTATAAACGAAATCGAGATCTAGCCTCTTGGAAGGAGGTCGAGGATGAAGGTCGTTTCGTAATATCAATTTGTGAATTATTTCAAATTGCTTTCGAATATTCATAATGTATGCTTTGAAATAAAGTTTCATGGAAAAATTCATATACATAACTGATATATATTAGATGTTGTTGAAAAAAATTAAACTATTGAAATACACTGTTTTCGGACCTCCATTTTCCAAGACAGGACAACAAGATGGCGTCGATGGGAGAAGATCGTAAACTCCAAGAAATGGAGGCCGAAATGAACAGGTACCAGTTCATTTATTACATCTCCATGGGTCTGATTGCGAAGACGTTATTGTTTTCGATTTAATCATTCATTAAAATGGACACTTGCCATTAATTACCAAAGGGTTTTTCCATACATGGGGGTAGCAGTAGGTAGTACGAAAATCGAAATTCATGCGTTTCTGGTAGGTACACTGTGGAGACGCATGAAAGCATGAAAGCAAAGGCCTCAAAATAATGTTTTAAAAAAAGTAAAGAGGCAACTAGCCTTCGCATCAACCCCGATGCGGAAGGTTTCAAATTCTTATCTTACCTCTCATCTGCTAAACTCACACACTCCAGGCTGTAATTTGCAAAGACGACCAGTTTTCGGTCGACAGGCCCATGAGTAAGCTGGGGTAGCGGTAACACTCGCCAATTTAGCCAAATGCTAACACTGACTTAAATTGGCTAAAGAAAAAGGGCTAGATTTGACATGTTTTAGCCAAATTTTAGCCATGATCTTAATAACAAATTGACAAAAGTGTGGTGATATGGCTAAGCAAAAAAAATTGCAAGCGCTACCCCAGGTAAGATACGTTTTATCATAATATACTACTGGGGCGATCTACATAAAGTGGCCAGTACAGCGAAACACAGTGCAATGCACCAAGAAAACCAAATCCAGTTGCAAGTTAACACAGGAAAGGTCATTCTCAAGCAAACAGGTCTACTTTATATATATATAAATGTGAAAAGATTGTATTACAAGAAGGTTAAGGTGGCAATGTACCCAAATATGGCTAAAAATTGTCATTTTGGGTTTTTATGTGTAATTATTGAATAAATCTACCATTCAATTACTAGTACGAGAAAAGTGCGATAGTGTTTTGAATATTCGTGGGATTTGGCAGGAATCGCACGAATATTGTCAGGAATTCAATACTATTTTTTGGAATCAGGAGTTCGTGGCCAAAATCTTGAACAGCTCAAAATTTTTGCCATGAATTCCCAATTGATCAAGATTTGCAAGAACTGACTACGATTATATACGAATCTGCTAAGAACTTCACGAACTGATTACGATTCAACCATGAATCCTGAAATTTGTCAATTCCTGGCAATTCATGGGATTCGTGGTCTATGTGAAATAGGGGCATAACATGACCGTGTTTTCGAACCATTTTTCGCTCGGCGAATGTGGACAAGACTGCCTGCGATGCTGCTATTGTGTGCACATCCTAGAGCGCATCCCTAACACTTGTCCCGATGTCAATTGAGGTGATTGGTTGAGTGGTTAGAGCTTACTTGATTGCCTGTCATTCTTCTGGCAGTGCTAGTGTTAACTCCTTGAAGATACTAACAGGAGGTGAGATTGATACAAACTTAAGATTTTCTGACATCCAAATGCATGCAAACAAGCTAATTTCATCCGGCAATAGAGTACCATCTTCGCGATCGTCGGAACGATAACAGGTAAAGCTGTCAACAATTTAATTTGCTATTTTGGACAATTAACCTCCCTGAAAGGGTTTTTGCTCGTTTTCTCCGCTTTCAAGATTGACGAGATAGTGTTATCGGATCGAGCTATGACTGTCTACCTGTACACCTGAGTGAGACCAAATTCACCATGCTAATTAAGAAAAGTATGCACTAAAAGTGCTTTTTAAGAAATTTTGGTTGGTCCTCTCTTTTCCAATTTATTGACTTTGAAAGTGAAAATTCCTCAATATTTTGATGTAATTTCACGTTTTTATAGATAAAATCAACAATAAGTCTCTAAAGAAAAATCCCTGACTCCGTTTTGTAGTTCTTTGTTCAAGTGTTATAATACCATTAAAAGCATGTTTATAGCTGTCCAGGTGCCTGAGAAAATCAGGTGTTTAAAAGTTGTGTTTTTGTCCCCAAAATCCCAATATTAAATCACACGATGAAGTTGAAGCTGTGTTCCAAGCATAATTAGATGTTTTGAAGATACATTAAATGAATATGACAGGAATTAAAAAGCTACGACCTTTATTTTAAGAGAAAATCTATAACCAACATTGCCACCTTAAGAAGGTTTATAAACCAAGGATTGTATTTTGGATGGAACATTTTAACCAAAAGGAATCTATTCTGAAGGGGAGGAACAGTGGGAGGGGGGGGGGGNAATATGACAGGAATAGAAAAGCTAAGACCTTTACTTTAAGAGAAAATTTCTAACCTACATTGCCCCCTTAAATTGATGATTAAAGCTTTGACTTGCCTATGCTCATACATTGCAACGAGAATTGTAAACGCCGATATTTTATATTTCGAAGTGTTTTGTTTTAAATCAGCGCAAAGACAGTTGCATTATTGAATAATTAGATGCAGGAAAAACTTCATTCTCGGTATTTGAATAATAATAATAGGCTGCAATATCATTAAAAGAAAGAAAAAGTTTGTTGAGAGGGTATTAAAATCAAATCATAATCTGGTAAGTACTCTACAACTGACTAGATTTTGGCCATGCGATACCCCAGCATTTTTCTATTTTCTTCCTTTTTTCCTCTCCTTTAAAACACACACATGACATAAAATAAATTTAGTGAACACTCGTACAAAACCAAACATACATTTATTATTAGATATATAGTTAAATTGCTGCCACAAGGGATAGTGAGTTGTTGCCGCAAGGTTAGCTATTCAGATGACTCTATTAGGTACAGGGGGTAATAAAATAGGGTGGACATTGAATTTGACGCAAGGGGTTAAGGGTGATAGGGGAAAGAGTGAATATTGATGTACCCCCACTATTTTTTGCAACTTCGTCATTCTTGAGAGGAAGAAAGGGGGCGGAATGGGGGCGCTAATAAACCTTCTACTCCCTACCCCTTGCTAATTGGCTTGTGAATGGTAAGTTTCACACACTTAAAATTGATTTTAATTCCTTCGAGTCTGGTTGGTTAAAAAAAGGTGTAACTATGATTGGAATATCTGGAGAATAACCCCATACAGTTTAATTCAAGATTTCGTCTCTGGCACGCATAACTTCCATTGGTACTTGTCTCAAACACCATTATCCAAAAACGCAGCTTATAGAAATAATACTGATTCTCTTTGTATAAAAAGTTGAAATGAAATGTTCTTGAATATGCTATGTACACTTGTATAGAATCAAGCGCGTTTTAAGCCACGCATATCTATCAGTAGATAGACCTAAATGTATACACATAGATGTTGCCACGAACACTACTAAATGTATTTTGAGAACAAAGTGACTTCAGTCTAAGGGAATAGAATAAAATTGTAAATAATAATGAGAGTAGTTTGATTATGAACTTGTCAAGGAAGTCCACAAGCATGTATTCAAATAGCAATATTTCTTCTAAAATTCTGAAATGGGGTAATTGACTTTGCAAATTGGTTAGTCTTGAGCACAGGGAGTGGTGGAGGAAAGGGGGCACAAATAATTCTCGTACTTCTGTCCTTTTTCTAATTATATTTTAAATCGATATTTCTGCATATTAAATTCTACTCCATCGAGCCATGTATAAAAGAACCGTCTTACTATGATTGATATAAGAGGTGAATAATCCATTGTAGTTTAATTTAGGGGTTCATCTTTGGTACATAAAAATTTTATTGATACTCCTTTCAAACACCATGGTCCAAAAACGCAGATTATAGAAATAACACTGTTTCAGAGGACATGTTTTGTCTAAATCAATGATGGCTCATGGCAGATTTTGAGCAAACACGTGCGCACACACATAAGCACACATTTCGAATTTAACTAGATCAAAACCACATGTTATACAGGATCCAAAGAGATTTAACTATCACTAAAAACGATGAAAAACGAATTACAGATAAACACAAAGACGTCTGAAAGGAAATAAAGCCAAACCACGAACAATCAAAACAAAAGGTGTAGCACGTATGCCATGGCGTCCGTAATTTGACATAAATTGCAAGGGTTTGCCAGTTTGACTGTTTGATTATTATGGGATAGATCTTTGAGTCTTAATAAAAATGCAGACTTTGAACCAATAGAAGAGAATGAAAACGATTAGACTAAGATAGAATTAAACTTTTTGAAGAAAATAACTGACCATCATACTATACATCTCTAACCATAAAAGACATTTTAAGCAAATACCAATGCCCCTATTTCACACAGACCACAAATCCCACGAACTGCCAGGAATTGACAATTTCAGGATTGGTGAGATTTTGCAAATTTTCTGGCCTTATTCGATACGCTCTACAATTGAATTACGATACAGGTGCGATGGTGTTACGAATATTCGTGGGATTTGGCTGAAATCGCACAAATATTGTCAAGAATTCACTACGATTTAGAGTCTATTACGAATACTGCACGAACGTTACGAATCAATAAGGAATCAGCATAAGCCGAATGCATGCATGGATTTGGTACGAATAAAAGTGATTTCTGGACTATTCTTGACATTTTGTGCTATTTCCCCTCCCTCCATGCTTCAGCAAATATTCGTGGCATTCGTGACTGATTCGTAGCTGATTCGTGGTCAATCCAGGGAGTAGTATGACATCAGACTGACAGTTTCCATCGATGGGTGGATTGTGGGTGGATTGTTTGTTTATTTGTTTGTTTGTTTGTTTGTCTGTCTGTTTGTCTGTTTATTTGTCTGTCTGTCTGTCTGTCTGTTTGCTTCTTTTTCTGTGATCATAATGCACTAGAACAAACTTCAGTGCAA